ATTTGTTATGCATCGAATGAAAACTACCCTTGCCACAAAAGTTTGGAACAAAATGAAATATAATCATATAGTTTGGAGGCAAAATGGAATGAATTTTTATCCACTTTGTTGCGGACATTCACGAATAGAATATAATCGTTTGACATAAAAAATACAACGTGCTCAAAAATATTAGGAATGGGGAGACGTGCTCTTTGCAAAAATATTTGCTGGTATAAAGGCTGTAAAATTTGCCTATGGACATGTATGTGAGGAAATTATCTTTGAAGATGATTCAGTGGTAGTAATTAAATCGATTAATAACTTAAGAGACGAATTTGTTCTGTTAGCTGTTGTGGTAGAGGATATTAGGAAGGAGTTGCATAAATTCTATTGTTCGAAGTAGTATTAGTTCGCAGGATTGCTAATAAAATAACAAATTATTTAGTTAGACACGCTAATTTTCTTAGGAATTATGATGCATGGAAGTAGCAAACACCTGAGTTTATAATGTTCCTTCTTTTATCAGATATTTCTCATTAATAAAATATTTATCGTTTCTTTCAAAAAAATCTTTATCATGTACTAAATCCAATCCCTCTCAATTATCAATCTTTGTCAATTCGTAGTGTGTCGTGTGATCCACTTATTGGGTATTTTAGTGTCGCATCATTTTTATTTGTGTTGTGTTTGTGTCAAAACCTATGAAAAAGAATTTATTTAGTGTGTTCTAAGTGTTAAACATTAATCTAGATCATAAATTATGTGTATTTAATAGTTGTGTCAATTTAAAATCGTGTTGTAACGGGTTTGTGTCAACGAATCACAGTTGACACCTCTATCAATAACCAATATGTCACACATGTTGTTTGGGACATATAGCACACGGTGCAGTTGGGCAAAACCTTCACTGTCTAAGTTTGTTTTGCACATTAGAATTTAGCCCCCCAAAAAAAAGTCACCGTTTGGTAGAGACTCCTAAAACTATAGCTTTTTCCCATGCAAGACTCCTAAAACTAAAAAAGTTCTACATTAATTTCTTCAACATTAGTTTCTTTCATTATAATTTCCGTGAGTGTTACTTGAACCAAGCTTGTCCAGCTTAAGTATGTTCAAGTGCAACTAGGTTTTAATTGGCTGAGTACAAGTTTGAATTGACCTCAGGTTTCGAGCTTTGTTATTGCTCAAACTTGACTTATACAAAAGTTTGCAAGCATTCGAGCTGAACTTGAGCTCCAATCGTGTTCAATTTCCTAGTAGAAGTCTTCAAAAATCAAATCGTAAAATTCAAGTTACCAATGATATTGGGTATCTTAAACCCAAGATCGGTGGTACTAATCCCATACCCTCCTTGATTGGGTATTATAGAAAACTAATAAAAATCTAAAAATCAGCTTCTTCCTAAAATAAAATACATAACTAAAATCAACATATCTTCTGAAATCAAGATCATTCTCAAAAGTAATTCATTCCTCAGAGTAAGTTCATTTATGAAAACAATCATGAAAGACATTAACTTGCGTTTTAGATTACCGACAATAATTCAACACTAAATATATAATTACTACAATAATTAAAATTAAAGTGTTTGGGAGGTGGTAATAAAGCATGAGAATGGAATTTCCATTACTTAATAATACTCATTCCAATGTTTGGTATGTAGTAGTAAAATTCATTTCCATTCCCATGGAATGCCTAATCTCTTTAACATAGAATTATTTCATTTCTTAATATTTGGTAATTTCTCAATCCCAACTACCATCACTAATCACTACCACCACCACTACCACTACCCCCACCCCCACCACCACCTGGGGTCGGGGTCAAGTCCAAGTCCAGGTCCGGGGTCATGTCTAAGTATTTTTTAAATATTTATTTATCTAAATGTTTGAGTGAATTTTTAATTCTATTCCGGCGTTTAATCTTAGTTGTTAACAAATATTAGAATAGTAATATATATTCCATTCTCACCTTAATTGCATTCTCTTTGTAAAAGTATTACCGCGTACCAAAATTAGCTGATTATTGAGGTTGAAATCTTTTCACATTAGAATAAAGTGTTTGGCGCCATTCACGGGATTTGGAAAAAAAGGGTGGAAAAAGGTAGTGGGTGGGATTGACATTGCATAAAAATTTCATAGTGTGTAAGACACGGCCAAAGACCAAATGTGGCACCCTTTACTTAGAAAATTTAACTATAAATACCTAAAAATAAAATAATCACTTAACATATATGTAAACCACTTTAGCAATATTAGGTTTGTAGTAATAAAAATTCATTTCCATTCCCATGGAATGCCTAATCTTTTTAACATAGGATTTGTCATTTCTTAATATTTGGTAATATCTTATTCCCAACTACCACCACCCCACAACCACCTAGGGTCAGGGTCGGGTTGGGTGCAGAGTAGGGAGGGGTCAGGTGCCAAGTATTTTTAAATATTTATTTATCTAAATATTTGAGTAAATTTTCAATTCTATTCCGGCATTTAATCTTAGTTGTTAACAAATATTAGAATCGTAATATCTATTCCATTCTCACCTTAATAGCATTCTCTTTGTAAAAGTATTATCACGTATGAAAAGTAGTTGATTATTGAGGTTGGAATCTTTTCACGTTAGAATAAAGTGTTGGGTGCCATTCACAGGATTTGGAAAAAAAGGGTGGAAAAAGGTAGTTGGGGGTAGGCATTTCATACAAATTTCATAGTGTATAGGACACGGCCAAAGACCAAATGTGACACCCTTTACTTAGAAAATTTAATTATAAATGCCTACAAATAAAATAACCACTTTACATATATGTAAATTTTGACCCAAAAGTCCTTCCGTAACAAAAAAAAAAAAAAAAAACTTCGACCCAAAAGTTTAGTTGTATGTAAGGGTGATAATTTCTGACATAATACGAAAATAAAACTTGAACTTGATCCAAAATCAGCAGGTTAGCGTTGATCATTTCTCAACACGAACTTGTCAATGACATGATCCACTAACACGAATAATAAATGAGTTGGGTTAGTGTTAAACACGAAATTGATACGATTTACACATTTAACTAATATTGTAAAAATTAAATACTAATTATTTGTTATTGTTTATTAAGCATTGACGTAATTATTATACAAAAAAAAACGTTTTTACTAATTATTATTGTTATGTTTATTCCGTTAATTATTAATTTATAGAAAAAGTATAAGCATGAATTCAATTAATTGATATTAGAATCTTAGACTTAAATCTTAGCTTTAAATTCTTTATTCGAAATTTATATGAGTCAACACGAATCTGACATGAAAATAAGTAGATTAATCGACACGATACGATTAATTAAAAGGTTGGGTTAGAGTTGACTAGTGCTTATCATGAATCCACAATGACATAATACGAACTCGATACGAAACGATACGATTGTCACTCCTAGTTGTATTTATAATCTATAATATATAATAAGACAGTCTTCAATAAATTCATCCGACGATTTCAAATAGACTTATTCAACGGCCATCAATATCTCTCTTAAATTTTCAACGTGCTTTCAGACATGAGTTACTGCTGATATTTATAGATAGAGGGAAAAGATAAGAGAGATGTCTAAAAAGACGATGTCGCTCTGTTTTTTTGGCTAAAAAGGGTTGGGGGTTTGGTGATTTGTGCCATAGTCAAATATGGGCAGTAACGAGGTTGAAGAGTTTGGACTGGAAGTTGAATTAGGGTTGAGTCTATCAAATACGGATATAGATACAGAATATAATATGATATGATAGGAATATAAATATGACGACACAATAAAATTTTAAAAATAAGAATACAGGTACGGTCAAGTTATGATTATTATAAAATATATTTAATATTTTTATTATTTTCAATCAGCATAATACTTATATATTTTAGTATTTTTTTAACACAATAAGAAAAATTATTAATTCTTTTTAGTTTGAAGAAAATATTTATCGTATCAATATGGTATATTCACAAAATGAAATGATTAATTAAAAGAATTAAAGTTAACATTTACCGAGTCGGTTTATTTAGAAGTAATTTTTGCTAAGAATATAATATAATAAATTTATTTTATGCTCTGTTAATATGTAATTATAGATAATACTTAAAAAATACTTATGTGCTTTTGAAGTAATATGAATTATTGTAAATGTATTGTATGGTATGTGAATTCGAAAAAAAATATTAAAAACTCAACTAAAAAATTATATATATTGTTTGCACGCAAAAGTATTCGTGAAGTATCCTAATATTTAATAATTATTGAATACGTAGGAGGTGTATCTGATACTCATCTTTAAATATCTGACGAGTTTCGTATTCGATACGAATACGCCGATTTCAAACGAAATATTCGTACTTCGTAATACGATAAGTTCAATTGAATTCTTTATAATTTGTGTTGAATTTAGACGGACTATTTATCTGTTCGAGTCGCATTCCTAGTGGAAACAGAAAGGAAAAAGTGGGGTAGGTGGGTTCATCTAGTGGAAGACTCGGTCAATAACCAAAAGTAGGTCTATTAATTAATTAATGTCAATTCTTAAGTCTTGATCATAGCAGTCCATATTCTTGTCATGTCTTACCCAAAAAAATAAAATAAAAGAGTTGACTATTTATTTGGTCCATAAATTATAATATTTGTGTTAATTAATTTTATATCAATTTAATCAATGAACTATACCATTTGTGTCAATACGACTCTTTCGTCTCAATTCATCGTTAAATTTAATGGAATTTTTTCACATGTGTAGCACATGACTCTTAAATTATATTGTAATTTCCTAAATTATGAACTTGATTACACAAATGATATAATTCAAGGGCAGTCAAAATAAATAAATTCTTGCCGTGAAGTTTCCTTCGGGTGTCCCTATAAATATCTGCATAATCAGTCATAGGTCTTCAAATTTTCCTAGCTGAGTCATCTTTGCTACATGAGTCCATATTCCAAACGAAATACCCTCATGAAGAAATTCCTTTTCCTCTTTGCCACAACACTTTTGTCGGTAAACAGTTTCATGGCTTGCTTTGCCAGGACTGAAACTAACTTAATCACCGATCAATATGCTCTTCTTGCCTTCAAAACTCAAATGAAGCTTGACCCTCAAAACATTCTAGTAAACAATTGGTCCACCACCACCCCTGTATGCAACTGGATTGGTGTCTCTTGTGGTGTTCGTCACCAAAGAATCACAGCCTTGAATCTTCCCAACATGAATCTTAGTGGCGCCATTTCTCCGCATCTAGGAAACCTCTCATTCCTTGCTACCCTGAAACTTGATAACAACAATTTACATGGTCATGTCCCTGTGGAGTTAGCTAAATTGCGTCGATTGAAAAAAATTGATTTGCAAAGCAACTTCTTTAACGGGGAGATTCCATCATGGTTTGGGAGATTACCAGAACTTCAACACTTGAATATGAGTAATAATAATTTCTCGGGTGCTATCCCCGCTTCCTTAGGAAACATCACTAGCCTAGTGATGATGCGATTATCGAGCAATTATCTACAAGGACATATTCCAGAAGAAATTGGTAATCTTTCCAGCCTGAAAATGTTGATATTGGGTGGTAACCAGCTCTCTGGTTCCATACCTTTCATCTTCAACATGTCTTCGTTGAAAATGATTGCTCTTGCATATAATAACTTATCTGGTCCCATCCCAGGAGATATTTGCCATCATCTTCCCGAACTCAGAGTGCTCTATCTTGGTTATAATCAATTTCAGGGTCTTCTTCCATCCAGTTGGAACCGATGTGGGAAACTTGAGTATTTGGGATTTTACAGTAACAAAATCACAGGATGCATACCTAGAGGAATCGGCAATTTGACTATGCTTAAGGTTTTGGATCTAGGAGAAAACCCATTGAAAGGTATATCTCTGCATCTTGTGTCATGATTAATGTAGCATATTCATTTGTGTTTTATAAGCAAGCATGTCTGTGTCAGGGATGGCCACACTTTTGGCTGAACACTAATATATAAGCATAGTAGCAGTATGCCTATGTCGGAAAATTGATAGCGCTAAGCCAAGAAGACAACAAGTGTAAAGCTTAGGCATCGCATCATATTAGTAAATTTTTTACCCCGAGATTATGAAAAATTGATCAAAGCCTTTTGTAACACTTCCACATATTCCAAAACACCTCAAAACATTTCGATAGTTAGGAATTTCATGTTTGATTAGTTTCTTTTGTTTTTGATAGAACCAAAACAAAATTTTATTATTGGATTTGTGGAAATTGTCGATCCATGATTTAGTGAATGTACTAAATGGTGCCTTACACTCCTGGACAAGAGGATAGACTCATTTTTTTAGTCTAATATAAAATTACTAGGAGTAACTAGTGTCTGAAGGCACAGTGTAATGCGAATGATTTTGAGAGGGATGTTTGTGACCGTTGAATGAGTCTATTTGAGACTATCGAATAGACTTAATAAAGCCTGTTTTGTTTTATATTATAGATTAGCTCAAACCAAATAGCGGGTGATTTGACCCTAATAGCCGAGCTTGCATCAAGGAAGGTAGTCATTCGGCACAAGCAAGATAAAGCTACCTAAAAAAGGAAAATTGCATCAATTTAGGGACGGAAATAAGATTTCCATCATTACATATGAGATAACTAAGGTAAAACCCATGCAATAATTTGACGAACAAAGTATAATTAACTCTTTATTGAATAGTCAATTTGTTTTACATTTGCAGGTGCTATACCACAGGAGATTGGAAATCTTCACAATTTGACTTTCTTAGATATAAGTTCCAACAGCCTTAGGGGTCTTATTCCGGGTACAGTTTTCAACATCACAACAATACATGTCCTTCTCCTTCATGGCAATTATCTTTCAGGCACTCTTCCATTAAGTATGGGCCTTTGGTTACCCAATCTTGAAATAATCGCACTTGGAGGGAATTACCTAACTGGAATTCTTCCGGACTCTATCTCAAATGCATCTAGAATAATTGAAATCACGTTGGAGAACAACCAATTCACCAGCACAATACCAAAATCACTTGGTAACCTAGAACTTCTTCAACGCCTTGACTTGACTGGAAACAGTTTCACTAGAGAATCTTCATCTATGGAGTTGAGTTTCATCACTTCTTTGACAAATTGTCGACAACTAACGTACTTGTGGATATCTTATAATCCTCTCGATGGCATTCTTCCAGTTTCTATTGGAAATTTCTCCACTTCTCTTGTTCATTTGCTCGCAAACTATGGTGAAATTAAAGGCAACATTCCCAACCAAATCGGCAATTTAAGTCGTTTGGCATTCTTAGAATTAGAAGGCAATGACATTCATGGGTTCATTCCAACAACAATAAAAGGGTTGTGGAAGCTTCAAATTTTGCGTCTTCCTCAAAATAGAATACGAGGATCCATTCCAAGTGAACTTTGTTATTTAAGGAGCATGGGCCTTTTAGATTTGAGCAAAAATGAGTTTGATAACTCGGTGCCATTGTGCTTGGGAAATATTACTTCTTTAAGATATCTCTATTTAGATTTCAACAAATTAACTTCCATCATACCCAAGAAACTATGGGTGCTCAAGGATCTTTTGGAGCTCAACTTGTCCTCAAATTCCTTCATCGGCAATTTGCCCCCAGAAATTGGAAGTTCAAAGGTCATGACAAAAATAGATCTCTCAAGGAATCAATTATCAAGTATTCTTCCTGGCACTATTGGAGGCCTACAAGATCTGTCGACTCTATTTTTAGCACATAACAAATTGCAAGGACCACTTCCTGAGTCACTTGGAGACTTGATAAGCCTAGAGTTCCTAGATTTATCTTATAACAATATATCTGGAACGATTCCAAAGTCTTTAGAGGTGCTCCTTCATCTTAAATACCTCAATGTATCTTACAATAAACTAAGAGGAGAAATTCCAAATGGTGGACCTTTTGTAAGCATCACTTATCAATCTTTTATCTCAAATGATGATTTGTGTGGTGCACCTAGGTGGCGCGTGCCTCTATGCAAACATAGTTCTCTTCAAAGATTGAGCAAGAAAAGAGTGCTTCTAGTTGTATATATCTCATTGGCGATTGGGATAACGGTTCTTGCCTCAACCTCGATATTCATTTTGATGAGACGAAAAAGGAGAAATAACATCGCAACTGAGAATGGTTTGTTGCCTACAGTAATCCATGGAAGAATTACCTACTATGAACTTCGACGAGCAACTCATGAGTTCAATGAAAGCAACTTGCTTGGCGTGGGCAGTGTTGGTTCAGTCTACAAAGGGATCCTTGCAGAGGGGACACATTTGGCTATAAAAGTATTCAATTTACGACTAGAAGGCGCACTAAAGAGTTTTGATACAGAATGTGAAGTATTGCGCAATCTTCGCCACCGAAATCTTACCAAAGTCATCAGCAGTTGCTCTAATCTTGATTTCAAAGCGATTGTGCTCGAGTATATGCCAAATGGGAGCCTTGAAAAGTGGTTGTATTCTCATAACTATTTCTTGGACATCTTGCAGAGATTAGATATAATGATAGATGTGGCACATGCATTGGATTATCTCCACCATGGCTACTCGATTCCCGTGGTTCACTGTGACTTGAAGCCTAGCAATGTTTTGCTGAACGAGCATATGGTTGCACATGTGAGTGACTTTGGCATTGCAAAGTTATTGGGTGAGGAGAGTAATGTGCTAACCAAGACCTTGGCTACCTTGGGCTACATTGCTCCAGGTGATGCTTTTAGCTTATACTCTTATTTGTGTTCGAATTCTCTTTTTCGCCTTGATTGTTATTTGGGAATATAATATTCTATAGAGTGTAAAATTCCTTACAAGCATTATAATTTTGTTAATGAAGTGTATGATGGATGTAGAGTATGGATCGGAAGGACTAGTCACTACAAGGTGTGATGTTTACAGCTATGGAATTTTGCTGATGGAAACCTTTACGAGAACGAAACCCTGTGATGAAAAGTTCACTGAAGATTTTAGCCTCAAGCAATGGGTGGATAATTCCTTACGAAATGCAATACTCCAAGTGATAGATGCCAACTTAGTAAGGCCAAAGGATGAACACTTGACTGTGAAGGTGCAATGTGTAGCATCTGTCATGGAATTGGCTTTGAAATGCTCTGCAGAATTGCCTAAAGAGCGGATTAGCATGAGGGAGGTTATAACAACTCTTCAAAAGACCAGAGTTGAATTTCTTGCAAATTGTTCAAGGCCTTGAAACATGAAATCATTGTTCCACTTTCTTTTTCTTGTAATGTACTCCTCATTGAAGCATGAGTATATAGACTAACCCCAAGAGGGTAAAATGGATTTTGCCCTGTTTTGAACTCAAATCCTTCCCTTGAAGATATCATGCCAATAAATAGCAAACAATGTTTACTCGAAAAAAATATACTCCTTACTCAAGTTCCCAATGAAGACCAAAGAATACTATATTATTTCTGTAAGGTTAGTGTCAAATAAGAATAACACGATTTTGGTATGATAAACTTATTTCACTAACATTGTGCAAAGAAAATATTTATTTTGCATGTTCTGGAATGATATTAAACTTGCAAATATAGTAAATAGCAATACATAAAACTTTTTATGTAATTAAGAATAAAACAATAACACACAAGAACAAAACAGTAATGCTAGTGTTTAACACTGTGTTCTTAAGACGAATTTCGCCTCCACATTGGTGCTAATAGAAATCTCGACGTCTACCTACTAGGATACTATGATCTTCAAGCAAACAAAAGTATCACTCTAATTTGTTTGCCCAGTGAATCAAATTGTGTTGTTTACTCTTAGAAAATGGACACCGCTAATGCCAAAATTTTGTATGTAATGATAGAATGTTGTTTGAAAAAATTGTTTTCGAATGTTAATGAATCTGGGTTAGTTATAGATTTAGACGTGACTGGTTGAAAAAATCACCATTGAAAAAATCACAATAGATTTAGAGCCCAAGGCTTGTGAATCACCATGTGCGAATGAACGGTGGAGAAGAAGACGGCTTGAGGTTGAGCCTGGTGGCACTACACAATAGCACAATGAATCAAAAACAATGGTATGGGTTGAAAGGAAGTGAGAGCACACAGATTATAGTAGTTTACCAGTTGAAAAGTTTGGCTAATGCACTCTAATATAGTTTCTGTCTCCTTAGAAAATTGTCTATTGCTTGGAGAAGAAGATATTGATTATAATTTGTTTCTTGCCTTCACATGGTGAATGCCTTTGCATTTATACCCAAAGGTGGGGTAGCTCTTCTATCATCATCATGTAGTCTCTAAGTTTGTTAGGATTTTGTTGAGGAAATATTGGGCCTTAGAGGCTACATTCCCTAGGTGTGACGTGACTTTTTAGAACATGTTGAGGTGGCATTGTGGCATGCCTTCAAACCTAGAAATGTTGTGGTTTTCCATACTTAAGAAATAACAAATTGTGAGGTCATTTTGCTTTGGGATGACCTCTTATTCTTTTAGTCCGCTAATGAGTGAGGGAGCTCAATCCAAAATAGCTGTCTTGAGCCAGAGACGCTGATTCTCCTTGTGATGTAGCTTGGATGACCTAGATACCTGTACTTGGGATTGTAATTGCTTGACTTGGGTTCCTTTGATTAAGGTTGAATGTGAACAACCTAGAAATTTATGTATAGCAATAAGGTCAGGAGATAGAGCTTGTTCATTAGTTTTTCCACCAACCGGTTACTTAAATATTCTTCTATTTACTCTCGATGTCATTCTTAGATATCATCCGTCACCTTAATGACCCATTAGATTTTCAAAGAGGGCCTCTCAAGCTTGATCATGTGAGACATGCGTGATTACTTCTGTCGACTTAAGCAATCGTTCAATTGGTTCAAAATGATACAAATTATAAACTTAAAAAAAAAATTTGACAAAATTAACTAAATTGACATAAAATGGGTCTTAATTTCTTCAAAATCTATTTTAATTTTAGCCGGGTTTAAAATTTTTATTTAATATGATAATGAAGAACATTTTTAACCTCCTTTTGTTTTTACTCATGTTTGTAACGAAACTTAGGTGTGACATTGTGGAAAACATAAAGCCTGTTTGGTTTGCGTTTCAAAAACTAGTATCTGAAAATAGTTTTTGAGAAGAGTTTTAAAAAAATGGTTTTGACAGTTTTTGAGATAAAAAACTTGTTTGGTTAGATGATTTCAAAAATAATTTTACAATACAGAAAATAGTAAAACTTGTTTTGATAGTCTAAATATATATTTGAACAGTAATTCAAACATTAATTAAAAAATATAAAAAATTTATTGTTATATTGACAATTTATTTTTATTATATATTATAATATATACTTATATATATATATATTTATACATATAAATTATATATTCATATATACATACAAGTATATAATATATATATATATATATATATATATATATATATATATATATATATATATATATATATATATATATATATATATATATATATATAATTTATAATAGGGCCTCACGTACACTCTAGTTTAAGTACCCAAACATGGGGCAGGGTGTAAAAAATGTTCAATCCTGAATGTTGGGCTGGATTGGTTTGAATTTGATGCTCCAATCCCATCCAATTAAATCCATCGATCCAAACAAGCAACAAATGTTTTTAATGTACTCAACTCCATCTAGAATGGGTTAGGAACAAATATTGATTTGTGGGCCATCATTAGACTAACTGTTCAGCCTGATTAGCGGAAATATGATAAAGGGTAAATTGTAAGGGTACACCAAATTAAATTTATTTGGTAAAAGGTACACACTAAAAAATATAGGGTTATTAAGTACTTAATTTTAATATTTATTTGTATTCAAGTACATAATTTGAATTTATCTATTTTTATTGTGACATTTTTGCCTTCCATTAATCCATGTATATTTAATGCACCACTTTTCTTTGAAAAGTGGTGCATTAAACATCTTCTAGTTTTATAGGAGAACTTTAATACATATATATATATATATAGATAAATACATATATATATATATATATATATATATATAAATACTTATGTATGTTTGTATATATATACTTGTTGTTAAATCTCTTATCTAAATTTTGAATTATCTTTTAATGCACCTTGATTTATGCATTTTTTTTTAGAAAGTGGTTTTATTTTCAAATTAATTTAATATCTGAATAGTATAATAGTATAATAATAACAGTGTAACAATATATATATATGTGTGTGTGTGTGTGTATAAATAAGTATATATATTCGTATATACGTGTATATAAATAAATATACACATATATATATATATTTACATGTATTAACAAATACATATGAATTAAAAGTGTATTAAATACGTATTTATATGTATTAACAAACACATATGAATCAAGATACATTAAAGATAAGAGATTTTGAATTAAATGACTCTAAAATAGGTATTTATGTCTTTTTAACTCACATTTTGTTCTATGTACTTTTTACCAAATAAGTCTAATTAGGTGTACCGATTTTCAAAAAATCCTATTTTAAATGGTTGAAAAAAAAAATTAATAGTGCTGGAAATGGGTCAGCCAAAATACATTAAATCCAAAGACCCCATAAGCCTCCTTGTTTTTCCGTACGTGGACAACTCCTAAATTACACTTATATATTGAGCTTTACTAAAAACAATAGGATGACGTTCTAATATTTTTCAAAATGACATAGGATTCCATTAAAAGATTTTAATTATGAAATTACATGTTTGCAATCCAATGACTCGATCAAACAATTTAGTCGAAATGAGTAAAAATCAACTACGTAAGCAAGAGAGACAGAGAGAGACCAGCCCCCAGCATCCTCAAAAGTCCCCTCGGTGCAATAGACCTCAAATCGTAATGAAAACACATTACTATTATTTTTCTTCTCTCCCACCCACGACCACCCCCTGCATGTAAATCTAATAACAATCTGGTTAATCGGATCCACATATTATACCAAGACAGGCATGGTATATGATCGACCTAAGTTCAAATTTCATATTATTGGATCGTGAAAGGGTGAAGGAAGTGATAATGCTGCTCTCACTCTTAGACTGTATATGCTAGCACCTCTTGGGTTGGTTGTGGCTCAGTCTTGGTTCTCTTGTAACTTTTTGAGGTGGTGTTTTTTTTTTTTTGGGTAATGGAGAAATTTCTAGCCCGTCCTTAGTAAGTAGAGACCTTTTTTAGTTGTTACGCTTGTGAGTCTGAGTAAAACTCAGGGTAAGCCCCGAGTGCATAAATTGGTCCCTCAACTCATACACTAATTAAATCAGGACCTGCGCTTCAATGTGGATTAAAATCCATATTAGAGACATGAATATGGATCGTCCAAGTAACTGAGGTATGTCCAATCAACTCTTGACCGGCAAAATTTTCATAAGATAAGGAGTATCATTAAATGAAAGTTCGGTAATAAATTAAATTTAAAATTTTAAAACTACTTGCACAAGAAGATTAAGTCTTAATAATTTTTTATATATATAATTTCATTAAAAGAACAACAATTGGAGGTTCAATCAATAAACAAATGATATAGAAAAAAAGCTAACAAAAAGGGTACCAAATTTTTTTCGTACATTTATAATTACTGTACAGTTATTTGCACGTAGTCTTGCTCGGGGTGCATGAGAATTTGTAATATTTTTAACCGACAAAGTTGTGAAGTTATTTTTTCATTTGTTAGGCTCTATGTGACCCTACAGGGGTGTATATCGATTTGAGTATGCCTTGAATTACGCTGTAATATCATTTCTGTAGAAATACTTACGAAAAATATAATGAAACGTCAGTTATGCATTGAACGAAAAGAGTCCTTGTCATAGAAATTTAGAACAAAATAAAACATAATCATATAGTTAGGAGGCAAAAATGAAACGAATTTTTATCCACTTTGTTGCAGACATTCACGAATAGATTATATGAAACTGATTATCGTTCAACATAAAAAATATAATGTGCTCAAAAATATTAGGAATGGGGGGATGCGCTCCTGACAAAAATATTTGCAGTTAGTAAGGCTATAAAATTTGCCTGTGAACAAAGATGTGAGGAAATTATCCTTGAAGGTAATTCAGTGGTAGTAATTAAATCGATCAATAATCTAAGAAAAGACTTTGCTATGTTAGTTTTTGTGTTAGAGGATATTAGGAAGGAGTTGCTTAAATTCCGTTGTTCTGAAGTAGTATTAGTTCGCAGGATTGCTAATAAAGTAACACATTTTTAG